AAAGTAAGTCTTGGAATCCTGGTTGAGTTTTCCGTTTGCTCCAGGAAAGAGAAGTGTCCCGCGCGTTGCAAGAGTTCATCGAGGCAAGTTGCCTTGATCAATTGGCCTTCACGTTTTGTTCAATTTTGATCACTGAGCCCCGCCTGCCAGAAGAGCCGAGCTGAAACCTGGCAGACCGCTGCGCAGGAGGGCTTGAGTCATTCACATCCAAACAAGCGGCATGCGTCCATGGCTTTGCTGTCTGAATCTGGTGACAGCCAGGAACAACCTGGGCCAGTGGCTGGATCCTCAAGTCGAGGCCTCTTGAAATCTCTTTGTGCCCCATGAGTCAGAAGTGATCTCTTCCCTGCGGCAGGTTGATCTGCGGCCCGGTGAGGCGCGCTTTCAACTTTTCCGAGCGAATGAAAAAAGATCTTTTTGCGAGAGCTCATTCTCTTGAAGCCCAATGTTCCTTTCAGTCGGGTTTTCATTCATTCTCTGTCTGGGCTGAGGCTGGAAAGTGACTAGCTTAACGTTTCACTTCGACTGCAACTGCAAAAGTGCGCTGCAACTGCTTTGCAATAACTCAAAGGCGCTGAATAAGTGCCTCAATAAAATGATTGTATGTGAGTAACCATGTACCTCCAAGGTTACTCCCATACAATCAACTACATGTATTCCCATGATGGAAACATGAAAACTATAGAATCGTAGATAGCACCTATCCGGAAAGGATCTTTTGAGATATACAAATATTTAAGCAAATCCCCTTGGGCGGTTTTCCAGTACCTATGCATTTAAAGTTAGTTTACCTATTTACTTAGTTGTGGAGGCACCCACACAGCACCTTTAATAAGCCTCTTGGGCACTTGCGCAGCGCCCAAGAAGATTATGAAACTGGGGAAGTGCCTGGAGGTCCTCTTTCATTCACTTATGATGATATAAACCAATGCACCTGCGTCGTATACAGACCAATGAAATTATATGCAAACCAGAACCGTGAAGAAACAAAACTTACGCTCCAAAAAAGCACAGCAACTGAGCAAGTTGGCGGCCAAAGACACAATATGCAACATCTAGGGTGTAGCACGGCACAGCTCAAAAAATCACATCGCATCCAAACCACATAGTTAAAAGATCCTTTATGTCTTGGAAAAATCCCTAATACGCAGAACTTGTCTTTAGGGTAGCAGCTAGGCTGTTACTTCGTGCCTGAACCTGGGGGTCTAAGGCGCAAGAACTCTTGTCGCTCACAGCCGCTCAGGCATCGCTATACAGGACAGATCAAAACCTATAGAGCATTCCCCACAGAGCTCTGTAGCTCATGGCACACCTACACAAAGCCGCGGTGCTGCAGCTCCACCTTGCCGGCTGCATCCTTAGCATCTATGGCTTTCTGTGTCGCTTCAGCCAGCTCCTGAGCCATTTCCTGCAGGGAATCTTCGGCTCTTCATCCCCCTTGAAGGCTTCGGCTCGCTTCATTAGGACCCGCAAACCATCGAGCAAGGAAGACAAGGCTGTCTTGGCATTGGAGACTGCACGGAGCTTCGGCTCCAGCGCTTTATCTGTGTCGGCCTTGACGCGCAGCGCCACCTCCAAGTTCTCCAGCTTGTCAAAGGGGGCCTTGAGCTTCACCTTCTCGCGCTTCAGCGCCTCCATGCTCTTGCATAAGGCTTTGTACTCTTCGGACTCAAACTTCACTTCGGTCTCATTTTGGAGCAACTTCAGCCTCTTGTTGCCCTTTTGGACATCAAGGTTGTAGACATTGACCTTCTGCTCCTGTCGCTTTAAGTGGTCCACAAAGCTGCCACCGTAGAAGACATACATGAACTTATCCAACTCTTTCGCCTCAGGGTGCTCTTTCTTCTCGGCAGTGAAGGCAAACTTCTCGACCGACTCAGCAATTACTTAATAGACGGTTTTAACTTATCCACTTGAAGTAACTTATTTTTACTTCACCTACTTAAAATCTACTTAAAAACTACTTATTTTAATATTTAAAAATAAGTATTTTTAAGTTACTTATTTGTACTTATAAGTAGAAATAAGTAGAATTAAGTGGAAATAAGTGGAAGAGGTTTGAAAAACTAATGGCTTAAGAAAAGGCAAGTCACAAAGTCGAAAATGCTGATTTTGGACATACTATCTAGTAACGCATGATTTTATAAAGCTGGTTTCAAGAGGTTTGTTGGAAAAAATGATTTTGTCTAAAGAAATCAATATTTTTGTGTTTTCACAAACACAACAAATGTCGATGAACATATAATATTGGGTACACCACTGTGTTTCTTTTTATAGAAGCGGGCACACCGCTGTTTATATTACAAGAGCGGGCACACCGCTGTATGTGGTGTCAAGAGCGGGCACACCGCTGGTAAAGAGAGCGGTCACGCTACTGCAAGCAAGCAAACAAGTTTGGGAGGCAAACTCTTTTTTTGCAAACAAGTTTGGGAGGCAAACTCTTTTTTTTTAGCGCAAGCAAAGGATGAACTGCCTGTCGCAAGTGTAGCGGTATACCAGGTTGGAATGTCTGGTGTGGAAGTGGTGCTAATCCTCCAATCAACAGTGTCGTTGGAGACTTTCCATTTGCTCCCCCACGTTGTCCTGTCCACCAAGTCCAGTTTTCGGACCCGAACGTACAAACCATCATGTGGATGTTCGAACCAACAAATGATTTCGCCAGCAAAGTGCTCATAGAGGATGATGTCTCCAGCGCGCAGAGGGCGTACGATCAAATAGCAACCTCAACAGGTGAAATAACAAGGGATTGCAGACAACATTTTGCTGTAGACTTTAAAATAAATATATACACACATATAGTAGTTATTGTTTATTTTATGTATAAAGAACATGTTCTCACATGGTTGCCCAAAAAAGGTGTTGGGTTGCGTGGTATCTGAATATATATAGTTACTATCCATGGGTGCATATATGGTGGAGCGGGCACACCGCTTTGATCATATAACATGGTTTCAGTCTACACGCTGTCCGAAACACTGGAACTCGTCTTCAAATCGTTGGTTGTGAAGGCGATGTGGTCATCAATGGATGCAGTTCGAATGGGGGGCAAGAGCTGCCAAAAATGCAATCCCGTCTCCTGCACCATCCTCAAAGCAGTCTGCAAGAGCCTTGGCAAGATGGACTTGCTGAAAAGGGAATGCTCATTCACCAACTTCCTTTGACGGTCTGCCACTCCAGACTTGAAGATCTGGTGTCGAAATTCCACAGCCTCACAGGAGAGAACAAGGCCCATAGCTTTCCACTGAGCAGGCAAGTGAAAGCGATGGTGGTGTTTTGGTTTCAGATGGGATTTCCCATAAGCCAAAACAAAAAGGTTGTGATGTTTCCGCTGCATCTTCTGCATGTAGTCGGCGTCACGTTGTGTCACTGCAGACAATCCTTGCTGCAGGGTTCGAACGAAGCTGACGATGTCGCAGAGGGCAAGAAAACTGTCAATGTACTTGCTGGGAATGGATCGGCTTGGAGCAAGCATCGTATCCACCACATACCGCAGGATCGGGAGGATTGCCGATGTTTCATTCGCTTGCCCTTTGAATTTTTCATCAAACATTTTCTCTTCGAAGAGATTCTTGATGTAGGTCTGCTTGTGACCAGAGCTTCCCACGCCTTGCCAAGCGCAAGAAACTACTGCTTCCTGAAGCAAGCTTCGGGTGATGTTGGTGTATTGATAGACCATGTTGAGGAAAAGGAATATTTCCAAACTGCAGATTCCATTGTGGAGATAGGTATGCATCCAGTCGTATGCCATCTTGCTCGGAGGCATCTTGCTTCTCTGGCCACTGTCCCACAGCAAGGATGATGGGCTATATGTTATACCCGAAGCTTTTTCTTGAATAGCCAACTCCTTTTTGGTCACCGCATTGGTCATCTGATCCGCGGCCGCAAAAATTTGAGCATCGGTGGCTCGACAAAAGCCGGTGCTTGCTGCCAGGTCCCTGAGCCAATCATCGTACTGGGTCAAATCACCTCCTGCGTGGAACAACATTGATGCAGTAAACGCATGGGCGAATTCCTGCGCTTCCCTTCAGAGAGAGAAGACTTCGCAACGCATCGTAGTTTCCTAGACACCAGGCTTGCGTGCGTCGTTTGAAAAAAAGGTTGTCTGACAATGCAAAACCTTCCTCGTTCTGCGGGGACACGATCAACTTGAGGATCTCTACCATCACCTTAGAAGCGCCACCAACTATCTGAGATAGAGCAGTGGATTGAACCACGGTTACCGGCAGCCAGGCAGATTGATTCTTCAAGAAGTGCCAAAGCTCTACCCAAGACATGTAATAGAGATTGGCCTTGCGTTTCTTGTTGACTGCCAACACATTCCCAGCGGTTGCCTCGTCCGCGTAGAGGATGGGTGTGAGGGTAGGTGAGCAGTTCAGTGCTCTGGTCAGCGCACGCTGAAAGTCAGCAGACTCTGAACAAAACTTTGTCAAACAAAGCTGCAAGTTGATGATTGGCAGCTCGATGTCAGGGCCGTCTGCGCAAGCAAACTTGACATGGTGCGTAGCAGAAGTCCATGGTTCCAGTCCACGCTGAACGGTCTGTTGGAAGGTTCCCCGTGCCACAGTACGGTCAGTACCTTCTTGCGCTATATTCCAGATCTCGTATACTGCTCGTTCACTAGCACCGCGAACACGCACGGCTTTGCGGAGATTGTCTTCATCTGACTCACAGAGTCTCTTCTTTCGACTCATGGCACAGGTTAAGATTTATCTATGCAGGTAACCAAACATTGTGTTTATTTATGCAACGATCTGTATAGACCTAGATTGTTTACTCTGCTTGTGACAAACACCTGGACATTCCCACAAACGACATCACTCTGTCTGCGAGTTGTTTGACGCAAACGCGCAGAGTTCATCGTAAACAAGAAACCGCTCTGAGGCGACTATAGCAAGCGGGCACACCGCTCCAACCCCATCGCAAGCACAAGTGCAGAGGACTCACCTTACATGGAAAAGCGGGCACACACCGCTTGTCCTTTGTTCCCTTTGATCCGCTGGTTATTTTTCTCTTTCTGAGCCATCGGTGGCGCGGCATTCCCAGGCAATCCTATATGCTTCTCCTCAGTTCGGTGGTCGGGCCAGCAGATCAGTGCTCCTTTCCACACGGAGGGTCAAGTCCACAGTGAGCTGGTGCATTGCCGCACGCACTTGGTTCAGAGCTTCTGGCACTGGAATGCCCATGTCCTCCATGCGGTCCGTGACCTCATCTTGTTTCATAAGAGCTTCGTAAAGTTCTTGTCGTAGCACTATCACAGCAGTCAAGTGATGCACCAGCTGCTTCACAGCATCGATCTCTGGGGCAGACATGCTTTGTTCAAAGGGATTTGTTGTTTGTAGCAAGTGGGAAAAATGTTGTCACATATATATATATACGCACACATATTATATAGATATAATGAACTGTTTGTAGCAAGTGGAATACTGTTTTGTCTTAAAGGAGCCAAACAAACAAGGCAGGAGAAGAAAGTGAGCAACGCGCAGGGGCAACAGGTCAGCACCTCTTGGGAAGGGTTTGAACAGGATGCACCCGGAGGTGCAAGCACTCTTCTGTTGAGTTGAACTACCTTTTCAAACTTACCGGAAAACAAAAGCAGCGGTCACACCGCTCTGCTAGGAGCAGCGGGCGCACCGCTGTCTTGCTGGACAACAGGTCAGCCAGACAACTTCAGTGAACCACCCCGAGACGTTTCGAACTCAACAGAAAAATGAGAAGCGAACGCACCGCTCTGCCATGAGCAGCGGGCACACCGCTTTGTTGTTGGCAACCGTCCTTTTTCCTTCCCCACGTTGCAGCATCTGCGTCTCAGATAACGCAGACTGATTGGCCAGCGGATGGCCAAACCCAGTAACTAAATTGGCACATTGGATCACATCCAGGTTCTCCCGGAGATCCTATCCCTAACTCTTTACCTTCGCCTTCCCCTTACCCTTGGGAACTGCCTTGGGTTTGGCAGATTGCTGTTTCTTCTTCTCTTCCATCAAGCTGGCAGCGTGCTCTGCAAACTCACCCCTGGCGTCTTTGAAGGTGGACTGCGCCGCTTTGATGCTATTCTTAGCCTCACCGTCAGCCTGACAGCCATGCGGACGATATGTTTTTCGAAATCACAAGCCATCCTTGCAAACCCCGTTTCCATTAATGATACAACCTAGAAACCGACTCCAAAGGAACCGGAGCATGCAGCAACTTTTGCTCGTCGGTGGCGCTGATCAAGGCTGTGGCACCTGGACATGTGTGCTTGCGCCGCAAAGAAGTTCGGTTGGCAAGGACTTGTATATAGTTATTCTAAGCACTGTCGAAGCAGTTGTAGTAATATGTGCGCAGTATCTTCTAGCAAGCGTGTACTTTACAAACACTATAGATTTATGTATCTTGATTTATGGAGCGGTCACACCGCTGCTCAACACATGATTTGCAATCTTCATAGAAGGCACATTGCTATCTTGTGTAGAACTATTGAAGTGTATGTAATCCCCCTTGACTATTTATCTCTGTCAGGGCACGAAGCTTCAAGGTATGGACCTTCTTGAAAGCTTCCTCAAGACCGTTCTTCAACTCCGGGCTCAACACGGTAGGGAACTTGACGTCCTTCTGTTGCAAGCTGTCCGCTTGGGTGCCAAGGCTAGTCAGGCTGCCAATGAACTTGGTGGCCTTGGCAACCTCCTTCTTCCAGGCAACTGCTTGCAAACGGGCAGCCTTCCTGGATGCTCTTGCAGCATCGTCATGTTTCTGGTTCCTTGCCGCTTTCTTGGGAGCTGCCGTTGACTTCCGAAGAAGAACCATCCCATCATCCGAAGGAATGGACCACACATCGTCATCCACCTCCATCACTAGATCTGCATCTCCACAAGCGGGCTCATCGGCGGCCTTGGCCTTCGCCTTTGCCTTTGGCTTCTGCTTAAGGGCATACTCCTTGTCTGCGATCTCTTTCTCCACAGTCCCGGTGATGTCATCCGTTGAGATGCACAGGAGTGGAGCCGACCAGATCTCACCAAAAACCTGATCTGATCTCGCCAAGTCGTGAGGAAAAAATATAGATATGATCAAATCAATGCAACACACCCCATGACTATCTGTAGCTTGTTTAACGATTACTTCTGCGGAAGCTGAAACAATCAATTTGTTATTGATCAAGCCCGGTCACTGGGCAGTCTTTCTTGTCTCCCTTTTCCTTGATCAGGTCCGTGTCGAATCCACGAGTTTTCCATGCGGATAGAGGAAGATATATTCCCAATTGACCCGGTTTCGGGTCTGAGTGGTACGGAAACGCACGATGGAGGAGGTCAATTCCTTTTTCACTAAGGCCCAGCGCGTGTTCTTCCCTGCTGCCTTGCACATCTCCGAGGCACTCTGGAAGAACTCACGTTGCTCAGCAGCGCTCAAGGACTGAAGGCCTGGAGGCATTCCGCCTAAATGGCGGTACAGCAGCTGGTACACGTTGTTGCACAGCCTGCAATGCAACCCACCTCCTTTGACAACAGCACCATCGGCCACAGAACAAGCCCGGCCACATTTCAAGCAGCCCTTTGGGTTCTCATCCGGCTGGGTCGCAGGAACGGCTTCGACTGCATCAGCCATGAGCTCAACAAAAAGGCAGGCCCTATAGAGTCCAAACCAAAAGGGGCTTCATTTCCAGAGTTTTCCTCGAACGCAGATCAAATGGTGAAAAAACTGGCACCAAATCAGTTTATCATGGAGACCAAAGTCTGATGAACGTACTATAGATATCTGATAGATACCTGATAGATACCTATAGATACCCTGTACAAAACCTATAGTTATCTAAAGATACCTATAGATACCTATAGATACCCTGGCATAATATTGCATGCATATCTATAGATATCTATAGATACCTATCGATACCCTGACGTAGTTTTGTAAAGATAACTATAGATACCTCATAGACACCTGATAGATACCTATAGATACCACGAGCAAACCCTATAGTTATATAAAGAAACCTCAAGATACCTATAGAGACCTGTGGGCAAGACAGGAAGCTTCCAAGAACAGATGAGAACTGCCAGCGTACCACGCAAGCATAAGTTAAACCACTTTGTCCCAAAGCGCACACACCGCTGAAGTATTTTGAAGCGGTCACACCGCTATGTTGAAGCGGTCACACCGCTCTTGAAGTTTCCCCCCCCCACACAAACTCTGACCCGTCTGCCCTGTTTTTTCAACTCTGACCCCTCTGCAGTCGTCACTTCAGACTTGGTCGCTTGCGCACCTTGCCGGACTTCTGCTTGGAAGGCTTTCCCTTCGCCTTCGAAACTGACCTCAATCAAGGGCAGATTTTTGCAAAATGGACTAATTAGTCAAAGATGAGAACAGCCAGCAAACCAGCAACAACTGGAAGAACAATTTCGAAATGAGTACAGCAGCCAAACTTCACAATACAGGAAGCTTCCAAGAGCGGGGACACCGCTGTCGTTTATATTTACATAGAAACAAAAAGGTTTCCTCGTAAACATAGATAGGTGGATTGTCTGTTCTACTTTTGTTAACCTCTTCCTTCTTGCCATCAACAGGCTGATCCGCATCAAGTGGATATTGAACCACCCCAAGATCTAATTCCTGCCATAAGTATTCACTTACATTCCCTACATTAAACTATATAATGACATTTGGCTTTGTTACTTGGAGACCAGCTACCCTTTCGGCAACACAGGCTTTTCGATGAAAGCAGGAGGTTCTTCATAGATCTGCGACAGGCTCTTTCGGATGTGGTCCCAGTTAAGATGCATGTCTCCGTGCACGACGACAATCCTGCACGCTTCCAGCTGCAAGCTTGGATCCGAGGGTGCATCATCGCATAACTCCAGGAAGGCATCCATAGCCTGGACAGAGTTGAGTTGCTATCTTCTGGCTCTAGTTCTTGGGAAAAGGTTTGAAGGGAGATATACAGGTCTTATAGATGCAAAGTTCTTCAACCTAGTTATCCCGCCTTGCCCATCTCAGAGCCAGGTCCCCATTTGCCAGGAATCTGGCAGATGGCACCCCCAACAAAGGCACGATGCACTGTGAGTGTTGTCTCCTGTCGGCGCCACTCAAAGGTAAAGTATCTGGTTCCCTGTGCGGCAGCAGCAGACTTCGGCTTCACCAGAACGGTGTGTCCATCCTTGGCCTGGTAGAGGCACCAAGTGGGCTTCCATTGCAAGTTCTCGTGATCAACCTGCTTGTACTTGATGGTGGCTCCACAACCGTTTGTCAAAAATATCACTTTGTCAGTTCTCCTGTGTCGCAGTTGTTGATGAGGCGGTAAAGGCCGAAACGACTTCACCTCAGCGAACGCGTCCCACCGCTCGGTAGTCCTCAAGTGGGTTATAGAGCTCCAGCCAACCGCAGCCCACTCAAAAGGCTGCTCCAAGACTTCAGGCGTAGTCATGCCTGCAAGTGGTGGAAGACCAACTGTCACCAAAACAAAGGGTTGTGTTCCTAAAGTCAACATGAGCCGTAATATGGCAGCCCCAACAATATGTACATTGAACTCACCCATATACAACTACTCAGAAAACCAAACCCACAACTATGTGAAGATTCTCACCCATATAACAGAAGCTGCGGACACACCGCTATTCAAGATAGAAGCGGTCAAACCGCTCTGGGAAGCAAATGGAAAGGAAGCGGATTGGCAATCTGTGCTTTCGAACAACATCCAAGAGGTTTCGAGTCCCGTTTTTTCTCACTGATCCCCAAGCTTTGGATTGGATGGTTCAAGTGACCATCAGTCTTTTCCAAAAAAGGCCTCCACTGCCTTCTGACCTGCCTTTCTGGCCAAATCCGAAGCCTTCACCTTGCCGTAGCGCTTGTTGGTGGCTTCACCTGATGATGTGTTTTGGTTTTCAGGGGCGTCTTGAATGCAAGGCTATCTGTTCCCTTTTCCTAAGTAGTTGAACCGTGAACAATAGATATATGTGTTTGGCTATATATAGTTGTATGTGTCAATACATTCAAAGAAAGTAATATTGTATAATATAGTTTATCTGATTCACATTCGCCACGAGACGCTTCATAGCATGGTAGGCGCGGCTATAGACACACTCTCGCGTCATCTTCTGCTTCGATCTCTTTTTGGAAGTAGAACTCTTTGGTGTTTTGGACAACCGCTTCCCTCCTTTGCCAACTTGCTTCTGCAACTTGGCTTTGCTCGCAGCAGCATTCTTTGTCTTTGCAGTTCGATTCTTGGACTCCGGCGCTTTCATGGCCTTCTTGACCTTCGAAGACGGCGCCTTCTTGACCTTCGAAGACGGCGCATTCTTGGACTCGGACGCCTTCATGGCCTTCTTGACCTTCGAAGGACTTGAAGGGCCAGAAGCGGGACGCTTCATGCGACTTTTGCTCTTGGGCTCCAGGACTTTGCTGTTATCTCGAGTCTGCAGGGCGCGAAGCACCCTGCCAAAGGGGTCGTCAGGACTTGCTGAAGCAGGCTCTGGGTCCGCTTCCTGGTCTAAGTTCTCCTGGCGCTTTGCTTCCTCAGGTTGTGTTTCACATACCTGCTGCGCGGCTGCAGGTTCGTCCACTGGAACTGGAACCTGTAGCGTGGCCTCCTGCAAGGAAATCAACCGCGCAAAGCTTTTTGTTAGTGTTGGAATCGTGCTCAACAATGTCATGGTCCAATCCCTGATGTCTTGATCAGTACAATGTGTATGTGTTTGTATTTTAAATCATATCATATACATATTATCCGATTTCAAACTTTTGTGTTCAATCTATAAACCTATTCTTTTGTCTGAGCGGTCACACCGCTTAGTAACTATCTTCTAATATTAACAGTGGCATTCCAAACATGTGCATCCTATATATACTCTTTGGTAACCCTGCCGCTGATTGAACTATAGCCGGCGCACCGCTTGTTCTAACACTAGGCTGTTACATAATTGCATTTCATTCATGACTGCGTTTCGATATATCTACAGTACTACTGTCCTCAGTGGCTTCTGTTGGCTTGATGTCTTCTATGGCCAACACAGGAACGTGAGGTTGTGGAGGGCCACACTGACTGCTGCTGCCACTCTGACTCTCGCTGAGAGGCCCGGAGGTTTGACGACCGAGCTTGAAAGCAAACTCAAGCATCTGCATCTCTTTCGACAACGGCGTTTCCTGAACCTTGGGTTTTTTCTCCTTAGACCATCGCAGTCTGGTGCTACCAGTGGTCATCAGGATCTCGTCCATGGGTATACCTGCAAGGAAGTTCTGCGTAAGAAACACTAATGTGTCAAACAACTGTTTGATGTGATTTGCGCTGTCCATCACCAACCATTCATTACCTATACCCGCCCCCCCACTGTCATGATGTAGCTATTAGTGTCTAGCTACGGGTAGGCACCGGCTCGTTCTGCGCAAAAGCTGTGAGATAGTACTCGGATGGAAGGTCCTGCACGGCCCTGGGTAGGACCTCACAGTATTCCACATACTGGTGATCAGAATTCCTCCTGGAATGCTTGAACTTTTTCCAGTCTTGCTTCAAAGATTGCAACGAGGAGTAGCGCTCAAAAGCGCTCATTGGCTGAGTCTTAGAACTGCAAATTTCCAAAATGGCAAAGACCACATTGAAGGTACCTTCCGTGGGGCATCTCAATCCCAATTGCCACAAATGGTTGAAGAGCGCGTTCGTGGCCTTGAACCTGTTACTCGACTTGACCTCCTCCCACAGTTCATCTGTGAGACAGTGAGGAAGATGCTCATAATTTTGCAACTTCCGTCTATCAGTCATGGCATTGACTGAAAACAAGGCAGATCCAAAGGAGCCTGCAGATACATAAGGACACTCGTTCCACACAAAGTTCCAAAAAGCAACCGGACCTACTAGAGCGGCCACACCG